TGAAATTTGACGATTGAGACTCGACGCGTAAAAAATGGCGGCCCAGTCGCGATTTCGGCCCAGTTTTACGCAAAAAATTCCTCTTTCCTCCGGGATTGATTCCTACTATAAAATGCCCCCTTCCTCAACCCTAATATTCTTTCGGAGATCTTTTTAAATAAGAAGGAGAGAAATCAAGAGGCACAAGTTGTCTTGGGAATCAAGAAGAAGACTAGGGAGATTTGGAGAAATTGTCTGGTTCAATCTTTTACTCTCTTTGATGATTTGTAATTCTTTTATTATATTTTCTATGTAAAATTTAGTCATGCTTGGCTAAATTTCATTAGAGATTCTTGGGTAAAAACTATTTATGAACCTATGTGTCTGTGCTCTCAGATTCATTAATATATTATTATTATTATTTGATTTTTAAATTTGTGTTGCAATTGTGTTTATTATTGTCGTTGCAAGTAGTTTAGGGTCCGGATTACTTGCTTCATTGCTTTGTTTATGTCATAACGTGAGTTAGGCATAATTGAGAGTCCACACAATTGCACTTAACTTTTGCACCTTGGGAAATTGCATATTTGTTGTAGAGTTTAATTCTTGATTATTGCACGCCGAGAGATGGTAGTGGTTAGGGATTATCTATGAATGTTTGTTCTTGTTCTTATTGGGTGTTTATACCACGGGAGTGGATAATCATTAGTGTTAGTGACTACGGGAGTAGCTCTATACCACCTTGCATCCTCACACTCATTTAAACCCATATTTAATATTACATTAGGTTAGACACTAGGAGATTAAACACTTAAATCCCAGGAATCTCAATCTCTCTATATTATTTTCAAAACCCTGAATCATTGCTTTACTTTATTTAATTATTTACTCTCTTCCATCATAATCATTAGGATTAGCTTCTCGTGAATAATTTAGTAATTAGTGTTTAATCCACACTTCCCTGTGGATCGATAACTCGTTACTCAGGGTTTATTTTTTTGGAAAATATACTACAATCAGTCTAGTAGAGCATTGTATCTGGTGCACCTTGCATCAAGTTGACTTTCTCCATGTCTAGTGCATCTCCTCGAACATCTTGTTCATCGTCTAGTAGTGCGTCTAGTGCCTTGTCTTCATCTAGCACCTCACCATGTCTCATGTATTAACTCCATGTCTAGTGCATCTCCTCGAACATCTTGTTCATCGTCTAGTAGTGCGTCTAGTGCCTTGTCTTCATCTAGCACCTCACCATGTCTCATGTATCTTAATACTTCACCCCGTCTAGCGCTTGGCAGCGGCTAGTTGAGCTCAAAAATGTTAAAGATGAGATTTGAACCTTAGATCATATGAGTAGCTTGACCTTTGATACACCGTGTGCCCCAAAACTCTTTTAAGCTAACTTCCCGCTTAAATCTTCTAAGTAAGATATGAACTTCAAGACGTAACGCGAACATCGCTGTATGAACGTTCTTTTCATGCATGGACCAAAACTTACTCAAGTAAAATAAAAATTGGGAATACTAGTTTTTCAAAAATACATTTGGCTCATCAAAATCTTACAATATATTCCTAACACTAACTCTAGTCGAACCCTCCTAGCGATGGATGCTCAGGCTCCCCCCGGGATAAATCAACAGTTTCGAAGAATTGGCCAGCCGGTTCTTGATGTACTTTCCCAGAAGTATGATGCCCAAGAAGTACATCTCGAACTTATACCGAGTTCACTAGAACGAAGGGGAAAGCCTACGCAAATACATAGTGCACTAGCAGAAGAAAGCCCAGGGAGTGGAGGACCTTGATGACAAGACTGCCCTGAGGTTCTTCATCGAGTCCCTCCGAGCAGACGGACATTACAGCAAATTAAGAGATGAGGATCCCAAGACATATGCTAAAGCCATCTAGAGAGCTAATCAATTGGCAGACACGGAGGAGGTGGTCAAGTAAAAGCACATGCATGAGGTTTCCTCCAATAAACGACTCCTTGCGGACAGCCTCCGAGATGGTCAAATGGAGGACGCGGGGGTGTGCGTGTGAGAGCTCGCCGGGTGCAGGATCGGCTGGGAGATCCTGCCTATTGACCGACGACACAGCCCGTCCACGAAGTCCACACCTAGTTACACCCACCTCCACCCGTCCGGCCTGGGGACAACCCCCAGGTGGTCGACATAAATGCCGCCCCCTATTGCGGATATCATCGCATAAACACCCACACCACGGAGGAGTGCGAAGGCCTTAAAGAGGAGATCGAGGCACTTATAAAGCTCGGCCGGCCGTTACCCCCTAATCAGTGGCACCGACCAGGTTTGCCTTGGCAGAAGGAAACGCCTGCCCAACCTGCGGCCAAGGCGGGGGGGATAAGGGCAAGCAGGCCATGCAGGAGGAGGATACGGACAAGAATTGGAAGCACAATCCGATAATCAATATGATCTTAGGGGGTCACGAAGGCGGCGATACGGCAAGGGTCCGGAAGGCTTGGGCTAGGCAACTATATGTAGGGGCTATAGCCTTCCAGGAGTCGGATCGAAAGAAAGCTTGCAGGGAGCCGATCGTCTTTGCAGACGATGACTTGCCCAGGGTTCCGACCCCTCATCGCGACGCTCTGGTCGTCAACATGGATATCCAAGGGTCGGTCATTTGCCGAGTACAGGTAGACACTGGGAACAGCGTTAACGTGTTGTACTTAGAAGCATATAAGAAGTTGGGCTTGCCCCTGGAGCGTTTGCGGCCAGTTAAGACCCCCCTGTCCGGATTCACTAGTGACGCAATTGATGCTGAGGGCTGCACTTCGTTGATAGTGGAAGTGGGCACCTGGCCCTATGTGAGAAAGTTAGAGATGGAATTTGTAGTGGTCGCCCTGGAATGTGCGCACAACGAATTACTAAGCCGGCCAGGTTTGGAGGACTTGGGCGCCCTGATCTCCATCGAGCATCTATGTATGAAATTTCGCACACCGACCAGTGACGGGATTGTGCGGTGCGACCAGAAGATGGATCGAAGTTGCTATTTGTAGGCCTGCCGAATGGTTGAGAAAGGTTCTCACCGGGTTAATACGATCGCTCACCAATTGGCTGAGCGACTAATATAGCGCCCGATCCCCGCTATCGAGCTGGAAGGAATCATCTTGGAACCCGACCGACTAGAGGGGAAGGTTTGGATCGGGGTAGGCTTACCCGTACCGGTGAAGCAAGCAGTCATCGGTGTGTTAAGAAGCTATAAGGAGATATTCACTTGGGGACCCGAGCACATGCCAGGGGTTAACCGATTGATCATAACACATAGGTTGGCGGTCGATCCTAGCCTTAAGCCTGTGGCGCAGAAAAGGAGGTATCTATCGAACGATTGTAGAGATTTCTTAAAACAGGAGGTAGACACCTTGCTGGCTGCGGGGCATGTCCGAGAAGTTAAGTATCCTGGCTGGCTGGCCAACATTATGTTGGTGCCCTAGTCGCCGGCGTGGAGGATGTGTGTGGATTACACCGATTTCAATAAGGAGTGCCCTAAAGATCCTTTTCCCGTACCCCGGATTGATCAGCTGGTCGACGACACGGCTGGTTGCGCCCTGCTTAGTTTCATTCACGCCTTCCGGGATACCATTAGATATTCATGCATGAGTCGGATGAGGAAAAGACCGCTTTCATAACTCCTAATGTGGTATATTGCTACAAGGTGATGCCATACGACCTCAAAAATGTTGGGGCCACATACACTAGAATAGTCACCCGACTATTCAAAGGGTTAATCGACAAATCCATGGCCGCCTACGTCGACGATATGCTGGTTAAGAGCAAGGGAAAAAGTGACCACGCCAATGACCTAGCCTATTATTTTGAGGTCATGAGAAAATTTAACTTGAGGCTGAATCCTAAGAAGTGCATGTTCGCGGTCAGAGGAGGAAAATTCTTGGGCTACATGGTTACTCGACGGGGAATTGAGCCGAATCCGGAAAAGGTGCAAGCCATTCTAGATATGTAACCTCCTAACAACCTCAAGGAGATGCAACGCCTGACTAGCCAGATGGCTGCTCTCAGCCGCTTCCTGTCTGGTGGACTGGAGAATGCCAGGCTGTCTTTGAAGATTTGAAGAGGTACATCTTGACCCGGCCTCTTTTATCTAAGCCCAAAGAGGGCGAAGTTTTGCTATTATACCTGGCTGCCTCCTAGAAGGCGGTTGGATCAGTCTTGGTGCGTGAAGAGGACAAAGTCCAGCTACCCATGTACTACGTGGGGCGGACATTAAAGGGTGCGGGGATCAACTACTCCCCCCTGCAGAAGGTCGCTATTACCCTGGTCACCACCGTCAGAAAATTGGTGCCTTACTTTCTGGCCCATCAAGTCAGGGTACTAATCGACCTGCCGTTATCTAGCGTGCTGCGCAGTCCGTCTTCATCCGGACGACTACTAAATTGGGCCAAGGAGCTCACCTAGTATGTGATTGAGTACACCCGGACCCCAAGGACGTCCATTAAGGCCCAAGCCTTAGCCGATTTCATAGTGGAATCTTCTGCACGTCCGAAGGAAATCCTGCCGACCGAAGAACCAAAGGAGGCTGAATGGTGGGAGATACATACTAACGACGCGGCCAGCACTCGGCACTGTGGAGGCAGAATAATGATTACAACTCCTGAGGCCTTCCATCTGTATTACGCACTACAATATCAGTTTCGGACCTCGAACAACGAGGTGCAATATGAGGCAGTCATCGGGGGGCTACGCCTCGCTATAGCACTTAAGGCTGCCCGAGTTCGAGTAAAGACCGATTCCCGCCTAGTAGTCAGCCAACTGAAGGCCGAGTGCGAAACAAAGGAAGAAAGGTTAAAGCTCTATAAAGACATGAGCAAGGGAATGCTGGAGTAGTTGGCTGCCTATGAAATCATCCATGTTCCCCGAGCGGAGAATGTTGAGGCGGATATCCTGTCAAAGCTAGCTTTGGGGGGCGTGCCTCCGCATCTATCGCTGGCTTGTCGCACCGAGGTCGTGGAACGACCGAGTACGGAGATACCCTCGGTCTGCACAATCACCCGGATGCATGCCCTACATCCAAGCCTTAAGAGCCAGCCCAAGTGGTTCTGGATTGCGGATATAATAAGGTGTAAACAGGAGTCCGAACTTCCCGAAAAGAAGTACGACGCTGACTGCGTGAGAAGAAGGGCTCCTTCCTTTGAGATTGTGGATGGGCAGCTGTATAAACGATCCTTCGGGTGTCCACTGTTATGCTGTCTACTCCCCGACGAGGCCAAAATTGTGTCGATGGAGGCTCATCGAGTGACCTGTGCTGCCCATCATGGGGCCAATACTTTGGCCCGAAAGCTCATTATTAAGGGGTTTTATTGGCACACCATGGTGAGGGACTGCATAGATGAAGTAAGGAAATGCCCGACTTGTCAAGCATTTGCCAAGAAGGATGCCTGACCGGCTACCTTTTACACTTTGGTCACCACCACGATTCCCTTTGCCAAGTGGGTGATCGATCTACTCAGACGGCTACCCCAGGCGCCTAGCCGAGTACGATTTTGCATAGCAACAATGAATTACTTTACTAAATGGGCAGAAGTTGAGCCTTTGGCCACCATCACTGAGTACCAATGTTGGTGATTCATGTGGAAGAATGTTATATGTAGGTTCGGGCTGCCCAAGCAGCTGGTCACGGACAATGGTCGATAGTTCGATAATCGAGCCTTTACAGCATTATGTGTGCAGCACAGGATCCGACATATCAAAGTGTCCGTGGCTTACCCCCAAGTGAACGGATAGATCGAGAATTTGAATTGCACCCTTCTGGATGGGCTGCGGAAAAGGCTAGAGGAGTTAGGTGGCACATTGGTTGACCAGTTGGAAAAAGTAGTATGGGCTTATCGGACGACTCCCCGCAGGGCAACCGTTGAAACCCCCTTTTTGTTGGAAAAAAGGTTTGAGGCAAAGGTCCCAACTGAGCTCCTGGTACCCAGTCCATGCATCTTGTTGTATAATGACGAGGGTAACTAATAGACGTTGCAAATCGAAAAGAGTTTCCTGCAAGAGAAGAGAGATATAGCATACGCCCGGATGGCCGAGTATCAGCAGGTCGTCAAGCAATACCAAGACAGGAGAATGCGGGTGCGGTACCTTCAGGTGGAGACTTAGTGCTCAGAAATCGGGAAGATCGCGCCACGTGTCCTTAATCGAACGGCGAGTGAAGAAACGTAACGTCTGACAAGACGGTTACGGGAACATGCGTATCGAGCCTGTAACCGGCAAAATTTGAAGAGTTGTCATAATTACATAGCAGCAACCGTACCGCTTCACGGAACTAGTCGAGAAAAAGCAGGATCAGTCGATAGGAGAATAGATTCCCGACTGAGCACCTGAACAAGTTACGGGAAAGGGATAACAAGGCAGCCGTGCCTCCCCATTACATCCTTAGTTGCTTTTTCTTATTTTTCGAGTCATCGCTTGGCTAGACCCGAAAAACTGAGGGACTGGTGATAGATACCCCAAATCGGGCACCCGATCTAGAGCGTGCAACAAGTTAGTCAGGCTCAAGTGCGGCATGACACTTGGTGATTTAGCAGGAAGGACTCCGCTCACATTTCCCGCTTGCCACGTGAAGCACCCGGGCGACCAGGCCAGTAGACGAACGAGTACCCCCACGGGAGCTAGCTGGCTCAGGTAAGCGGCTAGTCTCAGTAGTTGGTGCGTCGCCGATTGGGTTCAATCAGCGAACTCGGGTAGGCGACCAGTCTCAGTAGTCCGCATGTCCCCGACTAGGATCTCGCCGAGGACCAGGATGAGCGACTAGGCTCAGTAGTCGGCGTCCCACAGAGTTCCCGCTGAGGACTTGTCATGGGCGACCAGGATTAGCGGTCGGTGTGTCCTTGCCTGAGTGCCACAGCCTCCCTAACCGGGTTTGTAACACCCCGTGTTACGGCCTCTAACCCGAACTAATTATTTAATTACTTACCATTAAAGGAGAATTGAATTCCCTTAATTAATTGAGAAGGGTCCACCATGGATCATGGACCCTTATCCCTAAACCCAAATCCTTAGTCCTATAAGGAATAGAATAAGTAGATCCTTACCATTCAGACCCTAGTTAGGACTCTTAAGTATATATAAGGACCTAGGAGGCACCTAGAAATCACACCACAATAGATTCCACCACACAAGAATTCCCAAGAATTTTCCTATCACCAAGCGTAGGAGAAATCACGAAGAGGAGGTCTTAGAGAAAGAACCTTAATAACCAAGGATTCTAATTAAGGCTAAGAGGTAACCCATGTCTCAACAAAACCTATTTTCCTTGTTATAATCTCCTTTATTGGCTCCTTTGATATGTGATTCTATATTTGCGTCTTGATAAGGCTTTTCCTGAGATTGATATGATGATTATGAAATAATCTTGATGTTTATGAGATGATCTTGATGTTTATGTGTCAATCTTGATGCTTATGTGATAACCTTGATGTTCTTGATTCAAGATAAATTATATAAATGATCTTGTGTTTTAATTATGATTAGAGCCCTAGGATTTAAACGGGGATTTCGTATTGTGATATTCTTGGTATGTTTGGGTGGGATTATACATGATCGGGTATTGAGTCTTGGTATGTTTAGGAGTCGTGTTAGGATGTATTTAATGTGATTCCTGGTTTTAATCCATTACTTGATTACGTGGTATCGTTGTTTGTGTTTAAGTGTGTCTGGACATGGTTTCGGGTTCCACGAGGGATCCCCGGGACCAAATTATTACATAAGAGTCAGTGGAGGGTAGGTGGGGGCAGGGGTACCCGCCACCTACCCGCTGCCCCATGAGACCGCCTGGCAGCGGGCAGCCGGCGGGCAGGCGACTGCCCACCGGGCACCCGCTGCCTCGTGACGTGCCGGTGGGTAGCCCTCCACCCGCCGGCCACCCGCTGGAATTTTGGTGTGGAACATGGTGGTTTTTCCCGTTTGATGTTTCCCCGTGTCCCGTGGTGTCCCATTGGACCCCGTTGTCGTGCCTGAGTCTAGTTTGATGTTTTGGGTACGTTCGTAGGATAAGAGAGTCTTGTGTATTGCATGCTAGTCAAATTGGTATCACATTGGCCTAGGAGAAAGGTGCATGAACCCCTTAGGCGTATCTCTAGTAATGTGGTTGACCACGCATAAGTTATATATGTATGATTCCCCACTCCTTATGTGTTAATGTGGGTTGCATGTGCTTGGCTATGTGATATTTGTGCATGATACCCCAATTGGTTGCGATTAATTGGCTATACAGGTAGTTGGATGGGTTGAGAACCATCGACTGTTAACCCGGCCGGTTGCGATCGGACGGGTATATAAATATATATATAGGGCTACGGTCCAAAATCTGGTTGCGATCAGACATACATATTATTCGGGCTGCGGTCCATCGTTTGGTTGCGATCAAACGTTATAAATGAGCTGCGGTTCATCGATTGGTTGCGATCAATATCCTTGTGTTGCGGTACAGGCAGGGTGCTTCGGGGCCATGCCAGAGCTATATGTGCTGGCGCTTCGTGTATGGGCGCGTGAAGGATCCTACAGCACCACCAAATGTGTTTACATGTTGAGATAGTGATGGAAGACTGATATGATTGATGTGAAATAATCTGGTGACCTTAGGGTGCATGCTAGTATCTTTATATGCGTAATTACATCTGATGAATGTGCCTACCCTTGCTTACTTGAGTCTATTCTCGGTTTTAAAGTAGAGTTTCCTAAGTATATATGTATTCAGGCTTCAAAATGGTTTTCCTTATATATATATTTACCTATATTGTATTTTAACGCGTTGGAGTGGGTTACCGGCATTATTCGCTGAACAGATATATTTGGTTTTCAGGCACAGATGAGTAGCTCCGGAGCGCGCTAGAGGACCCGAGGCTTAGCTAGTTAGTTCCTTATCGGCCTGCGTGCCATGATGATGTACTTAACATTGATTTGAGGATTTATGATGTTTAGATAGTTTAGCCTGTGCGTCTGAGTTCTCCAGCTCAGAAATGGAATAGCACCCCTACAATTATGTTTAGTTATGCTCTGATTTGGGATTTAATGATAGTATTACCTTTATTTCATAAGAATTCAAAGTTTTAAATTTTAGGGGTGTTACAGGGTTACCTCGTCAGGCAGTCAGTGCGTCCCCGACCGATTGTGCGTCCAGAGGCGGTTAATGACGGATTCTGCGGAGATTCCTTTCCTTATCCAGCGAGTAACTTCCTTTCTCAGTTTAAGCAGTTATTGCATTAATTATAGTAGATTCCATAGCCGATTGGACTCCACCTTTACCCTACTTTCCTTGTAGGAAGCTAATCCCTTTTTGTATAAATACCCCCACAAGATCACTGTGAGGGGGACAGATTTTTCCCACTCAATAAAATTCCATTACGCTATCAAATTCTTTTTAAGTTATTTATTCCCTCTAACTCATCCCTCACAAACCCTAGTATTTTACGGTAGTGTTGGCCCACCGAATGACTTCCTCCAGTCCGTAAAACCAACCTATAGTTTTCGTGAAATCAATGTATGGTTGTTATGTACCTTGAAACTTCTTGTATTCACTACTTTCGAAATTCCTCAAAAATGATTTTGTGACAAGTGTTTATGTTCATCAAAAATTTAGTTTACAAACCCCAAAATGTGATTTGTATGGTATCTATATATGTTATATGTTTTGGAAAGTTACGTATTTTGGAGAAATTGTGTGTATTGTATAGGATTTGATTCCAATAGTAGTATAACAAAAATTGGCATACAAACATGGTAATTGGTCATGTGATTTTGAGTTGCAGATCTCTTTTATCTTCGTTTAATAATATTAGTGTTGTTTTTGCTGGTAAACTTGCGAATCTTTTGGCGCATAAGTTAGCCTGGGCCACTGATTCTCATGTTGGCCTTGGAACGTGGTGTTCTGTACCTCCTCCCAATATTTTGGACTTCATTCATTGATATATCTTTCGGGATTTGCCTTTCAAAAAAAAAAAATTAATACCCTTAAATTGTGTCCATATTTTTATATATGTTTGTGGAGTTCATTCTACACTGTGCTACAAATATTGTATTATCAAAATTTCTGGACAAAAAATTGTCTGCCGCATGGGATTAATTCAATATTTTTTTTAATTTTCTCATTTGTAGTAATCATCAACTAGTGTGGTACGGAGTATTTGAAGAAGTTGAATGGTTTTCTAAAAAATGAATGGAAAAATCAACTGTGGCAGTGGGCAGTAGGTTAAGAAACCGAAACATACAACATGTTAATACATACAGATGTAATTAGTAACAACGAACCAAATCCAAGCAACATCAGAGGAGCTTCATTGCTAGCTACCGAAGCAGACAAACTCCTCCATGTTTGGATCGGATTATATTATTATTTCAGACCTTTATTTATTTAGCTATATATGGATCACATTATTATTATTTATTAAAACAAACACTGAAGTTGAAGGAAGCAATATTATTATTATTATATATATAAGGTATTTAGCAAAGCGGCCGAGCCTTCATATCCTCATGCAGGTGCAGACATTGCTGAAGAAGGGCCAATAAGTTTCGCACATTGCAAAAGATAGCGCAGTGTGTGTCATATGGGTTTTCCCCGGGACAATGCTCGTTGTACCCGACCGCGTCTTTTATGGGAAGCATCGAGTATTTTCTGAGACTCGCAGCCATTATTCCCCTCTCTGCAGAATTAGAATTAACAATCAGAAGAAGAAGAAGAAGAAGAAGGGGTATTTTACTTATTTCTATAAAATACCACAATGGATCGATATATATAGGCTTCGAAAAAATTCATCCCATACCATATATGTTAATAACGGAGAAATTAAAGCTAAGGGAGAGTGCAAACCAGAGGCCATGAGGAGCATCAACAAGAGTGAGGCAGTTGCAAACAAACGAACAGAGGAAGAAAAAGCCATCTTTGTTAACTGAGAACAAAAGAAGGTGTTAGGTTAGGCGAAATGGAAATGCTGTCAGTGTTTCAATGAGTGAAGTCCTTTTTATAAGTCACAATTTTGAGAATGGACCATGCTCTTATCACTTAGACCTCACATACTTCATCAATACATGCATACAAAAAAAAAATTATATATTACTTCTATACTTTTGATATATATATATATATATATATATATATATATATATATAAAGTTTTCTTAATCCAATGTGTGTGTATATATATATATATATATGTTCAACATATGTTATATATATGTATGTTGAGTCACACTTGTATGCGACCACAGTTAGATGGGTTGGGTTAATACGAAAATGTAATACTTATACTGAAAATTGTAATATTAATTAGGAATAAAGTGTTTATTACTTATAAGAAAAATTGTAATACTGTTGAAGACAAATGTAATAGTTTTACATTTTGATGTAAAAAGTATTTCATTTTTCATCAAAAGTATTACATTTGCCCTTTGTTTGCAAATGTTTGTATTTTTTTTATTTATTTTTGAATGCTATTGACTCTATTACATTGCAGTATCTGTTCAAACATTCTTTGTCAACCTAATGAAGTACAAAGAGTCAACAATGCCTTCACTGAGGCATGACGTCCCATATGAAAGAGGTTATTACATGTTATCTGAGCACAAGGAGTGCTTGGCAAGTTACCTAAGTGAAAATGTAATACTTTAAATTAAAATGTAAAAGTATTACATTTTTTTTTCCAAAAGCATTACATATACATATATAAGTAATGAACATTTTATTCCTTAATTGGGGAACAAAAAAGGAATAAAATAAATAAAAATATATTATTGTGGGTATGGTGGCTAGCTGCCCATACACCATAACTAAAGGGAATTATGTCCCTATTGTTTGATGGGAATATAAAGGTTTCACGTGGGATGATTCTTCCCTCCTCTCTTAGAAACGGAAGCAAAATGGGCAAGGAGGAGAGGAAGAGGAAGTAAACTTATATGGTAATTATATTGGAGTTTATCTCAAGTATGTAAGTTTTTAAGGTCACCCAAATATATTTTTACAAACCTGGAAATATAATTTTCATGAAATCAATATATGGTTGTTACTTGTCTTGAAACTTCTTGTGTTCACTATTTTCAAAATTCCTCAAAAATAAATTTGTGACAAGTGTTTATGTTCGTCAAAAATTTAGTTTACAAACACCAAAATATTATTTGTATGATATATGTTGTTATATGTTTTGGAAAAATTACGCGTTTTGGAGAAATTATGTGTATTTTGGAGAAAGTATATGTATATTTTTTTTTTTTTCAAATAGGGAGGATGTGAAAACTAGTTGTGGTTGTTGTACTCTTTGTTGTGAATTGCATAGTATCCCGTCATGAATCTTAGGGTGCCTGGGTTAAAACCCTGATATATATATATTAGGGGTAGGGGAGTAAATGAGCCGAGCCGCTCACGAGTCGCTCGTGAGCAGTTCGATCAACGCTCGGCTCGAACTCGGTCAAAATTGAGCTCGGCTCGAGCTCGAGCAGCTCGTGGATTAAACGAGCACGAGCCAAGCTTAGGTATTGTAGGCTCGCAGCTCGACGAGCCGTTCGCGAGCCTTATAATATATTGTATAATATATAATATATAATATAATTATATTATATTTAGTATATAAAAATAATAATTAGGGGAGGAAAATTAAAATAGTTTAATAATTATGTATGGATAAAAGTCATAAAACAAAGTAGTTTAAATTTTAAATCAAGCAGGTCAAATTCGAGATCAAAATTGAGCTCAAATTCTAACCTAAACTCGAGCTCGAAGAATCGAGCTGCTCGAGCTCGAGCTCGAGCAGCTCGACAATTGCCGAGCTCGAGCTCGAGCATCAATTCACGAGTTCGAACGAGCTCGAGCTCGAGCTCGAGCAGTGCTATCATTAACGAGCTCGAGCATGAGCATACCCAGGCTCGGGCTCGGCTCGGCTCGTTTACACCCCTAATTAGGGGTATTCAGTAGAAACTTATCTTGAATACTATGACTATGTCCTGTTGATTTGAGTAGTGGTTAGGGAAGCCTACCACTTGAATGCAATCATTAGGGAAGCCTATTCACAATTATTGAATATCTATATTCATAATTTCCGAACTATATGTTCAACTATATGTTGATAATTATGTTCACAATTCTATGTTCATAATTATAGAACTATATGCAGTGGCGGATCCAGAAAATCATCTGAGTGGGGGCGAATATTAAATGACGTTAGAAATGTTAATGACAAAATATCAAACAATAACCATAATAAAGTTAAAATACAAAATACATTATAAATTACAATATATATATATATATATATATATATATATATATATATATATATATATATATATATATATATATATGAGAAAATATGAAACATAATCAATTACATAAAATAATTTGAATAACAATATATGAGAAAATATTTTTAAATTTTAATTTCTTTTAGTTAGATTGATTTTTCTAAATTAAATCGAATACAATAAAGTATATTATAAACTTGTATACTACATTAATTAAATGATTTATAAAAACTAGACTAAAAGAGCATTTAATTTGTTAATTAAACGATTCATAAAAAGTAGACTAAAAATATTTAATTTATCTTGTGAAGAAATGAAAGAGAGAAGATAATTAAAAGTGTTGCTAATAAGATTTGAATCCATGACATAAATCTTTAATAATATAAAATTAAGAGTTCGACCAACTAAGCTACTTAAACAATTAATATTTTTAACATAAATATAGATTTTATATAATATTTCATGCTCTATATGTATACATATACATACATATATTGAAGGGATGAGGTGGGGGGAGTGGGGGCAGTTGCCCCTCACACTGGGTCCACCCTTGACTATATGTTCATAATTTTTGAACTATATATTCATAACTAGTATTTGTCCCGTGCGATGCACGGAAAATATGTTATAAAAATATACTCTATATGAGGTTTATTTATATATAAAATTTTTGTTATTTAATAATTATTATGTGTGAATTCCTATGATAAAATTATGAACATAAATATATTTACAATTGAAATAATATTTAAGGTGGGTGATTACTACAAATCTTAAACTATATTAGAAATTTAGTACATAATATTTAATATTACAAATTTTTAAGAACTTAGTAAACTACAATAGTAATTGAATTACAATTTAGAGTCACCACGGATCACAATTTTTAGGCCTTTGAGATTTCTAACTCTAGATATAGCAACATACAATTGACCTTTAAAGACCAAAATCACAATCTTAGTTCAAACATTGATTTTTTCTTCAAAATACTATCGAATTAAGTGTGTAATCAATAAAAGATGAGAACTAAAAATTCGAGAATATAATCTTAATGTTACTAAGCCTACTTCACGTCAATTAAGTTGGAGAGTGTTGTTGGATAGTATCCGATGAATCCACGAATAACGCATCTTTGTCTTCGTAGTCCTTAATATGCACATCAACAATCTTAAATATTAGGCCGCCTAGCTATGCCATATAGTAATTTCAAACTTATGAACTTTGAGGTTGCATGCAATAAAAAGTATATTTTAAATATACTAAGGGTACATTATATATGTATGTAAGGTACTTTCAATATAAAAATAATGTATTTTTAATATATTAACAATGTATTTGATATTCATGATCCATACAATTATGTGGACAATCGTTCATACAATAATTTGCCAGTAGAAATTGAAATATAAATAAATAAATAAATAAATAAATAAATAAATATATATATATATATATATATATATATATATATATATATATATATATATATATATATATATTATTGCAATTATTATCATTATTATCATTATTATTATTGCAATTATTATTATTATTATTGTTATTGTTATTATAATTAACAACAATATTATTATGGTCTTGTGAAAATTAAATGTTGATTATCACCATTTAATTTTCACAAGACCATATAGCTTTATTATATATAGGATTATGAACTAGCCTAATAACTATTATACAGGAGCTAGAATAGGACTAAATATAATAAGAGAAGATATCAACCACATATATCTTTAACAGGGAGGAGATTTCCTAAAGGAATTTGGGAGGAGATTTCCTAAAGGAATTTGGGAGGAGATTTCCTAAAGGAATTTGGGAGGATGTTTCCTAAGGAACTTGGGAGGAGGTTTTCTAAGGGACTTGGGAGGAGGTTTGCCTAAGGAGAAAAACATGGGGCTAAGTTTGGGCTTAGCAGGAAAATATTAGAATTAAATGCTTGGAATCTCTAGGCACATGGGTTCTAGCTTGGAAATATCTAGACACATGGATTGCTATAAATAAGGCAACATCCTTCATTCATCAGATCATCCCATCTCATTCAAAATACAGAGAGTATAGCAAAATTCTGTAGAGAAAAAATATAGAGTTATATTTGTAATTCCTATTGTAATATCCTTTTGCCAATACAGGAAAAAATTCTTTTTCAAATTACCTTGTTCTGTGTATGATTTATTTTAAATCTTACACTAGAATTTATTCTCAATATTTCCAGTTCAAGTTGCTATTGTAAATTTGGTGATGTGAACCCGTTTCGACCCTAACAAGCAGTATCAGAGCCTTAGGTTGGTTCATAGATATATCTTTTTGTATCGTTTATGTTAGAATAAATACTGGTAAATTCACAATGCTAGTATTATTCTATTATACGATACTATTTAGATATATTGTTCCGGATTTGAATTAAGAACACCAGTTATAATGGCGGCAGAGTATGAGATTGAAAAGTTCAAAGGGAACAATTTCTCTTTGTGGAAAATGAGAATCAAAGCAGTTCCTAGGAAAGAGAACTTCATAGCAGCAATTGAAGAAAGACCAGCCGATTTCACTAACAATGCGAAGTGGACAGAAATTGATAGCAACGCTATTGCCAATCTGCCCTTAGCACTTACTGATGAAGTTTTGTCAAGTGTGACAGAAAAAGGTTCGGGAAAAGAGGTATGGGATACTCTTGTAA